CGGGGGTTTGGGGGTTGTTGTTTTTTGCGGATTAAAAAAGTAATCCTGTAGAAATTTGACTAACCACGTTTCTGACAAATTGTTCTTAAAAGTTATGAGGAGGAGAAGAACATCTCTTAAGCATACACCGTTCAGCCGAAGAAAAAAGAAAAGAAGGGGTATGTTAAAAAGACGAATACTTATGTGAAAGACCTTATAAGTAAATGTCTGTTTGAAAGACTGGAGTCTCAACGTTATAACACACTGAAAACCCCCTCATTATGGCTCAGAGTTTGCCAAACAGTTTCACAGGCAAACACTAGACCCGTCGTCTTCTGAAACTGAGCTCAGCGTGTATCAGAGCCTGTCTTGTGCTTCTGTTTTCTGTAGAAAGACAGACTGCGCGAATGTTACAAAGATTGATATTTGTTCTTTTTACTCGCTTCATTTGTATTTCCACTCACTCCAGCTTGACCCACATTCTTTTGAGAAGAGTAAAGTTTCGTATTACTAGTTATCTTTTGGGCCGACCGAGACGTCTCTTTATTTGCCCGGTACGTTCGTTTCAAACATCTGGTGGTCTTCTGTAGAGCTATGTGTTATATTACTACAGCGTTTTTCCGTCTATCTCATTTTTAATCTTTTCATCCGTCTGACCGTCTGTCTAAGTTTATCATCTTTTCATCTTTGAATATGCCAGCTGCACACGTGCCCTCAGAAACAGATAGATGGGACCTCCTCCCCCCACCTCACATACGCACACTCATACTCTTACACACGCACGCACGCGCGCACACACACACACACACACACACACACACACACACACACACACACACACACACACACACACATACGCACACAACACACTCGCACACACACAAACGTACATACACCCCCCACACACACACTTGCACGCGTGCTCATACACACACACACACACACACACACACTCTCTCACACACACACACACACACACACACACACAACACACACACTCACACACTGCATAACATAATATGTTTGAGTGTTGTATGTGTGATCAATGCATGTGTGGTAGTGTGCCATATTCCAGTAGTATATACTCATAATTAGTCTGTGTATATTATTTGTGATCTAAAGGAACATGCGAATATTCTTGTGTTTACACACGTCGCGTATGTCTATGGTAAAGATGTGTCACACGTGTGGCCTAGAATCGAATCGGGTCGAAGAAGGATCAAGTCAGCCCTGTCGTGTCGCCGGAGAGCTGTGGTATTGCGAGATCTCCGCAAACAGAAATAGGCAAACACTGCCGGGATTTTGGTGTCAGCCGGTAGTCTCGAGAGTGGGGCGAAAATACGTCCACGTGTGTCTCTGTGTCCGTTCTGATGTTACCTTAACACAGAGGAGTTTGAGAAACACATAGATCTACCCAGACAGAACATATTATTGTGCGTACACACAAGCGCGCGCACACACGCGCACGCGCACGCACACACACACATACATTTTTACTTTCAGCAGCACGCAGATGTGCACACGACGTGCTCGCGCACATCTATCTATCTATCTATCTATTTATCGATCGATCGATCTATCTATCTATCTATCTATCTATCTATCTATCTATCTATCTATCTATCTATCTATCTATCTATCTATCTATCTATCTATATCTTTTCAACC